TTGATGCACCAGGGGAAGGGGTTTGGCTCCGGGCACTACACCACCTACGGCTACATCTCTACAGGAGGTACAGATGAGGGGATCATCTCGCCTGGGGTAGACTGGGCGTGAGTTCAGGCTTTGGTGGTTTCTAAACTGGCCACCGAATCCTCTCACAAAAGCTACTTGACCCTGATTTTCTTTCAAGAATGCTTCTGTTGGTTTCAAAAGAAAAAAGTGAGGTTTAAAGCAACCTTGGCTACGTAAGCATCACAGGGATAGGAGATTGACGATAGCCTTGCTAACGAGAAGCCAGGGCTTTCGCTTCATTTCCAAGAGCAGGTCCTGTGTTCACTGGCTTATTCTGGCTACCTGTTGAAGGGCAAGGCATGTCATGACCCGGGGGTCCCAGGTAACTGGACCAACATTGGGCTTGGGTTTGACATACACGACTCACTTTCACTTGCTGCCTCCGAGGCCCACTCTAGGCCAGCCGCGTAGCACACGCGAGTGGGGGAGGTGTCCGTCCTGTTTTGAGTCGGAGTCTCCCTCTGTCGCCCAGGCTGGGGTGCAGTGGCACAGTCATGGCCACCCAGACTCGACCCACCGGGCTCCAGCCTTTCCGCCTCAGCCTTCCCAGTAGCTGGAGCTGCACCACCATGCCCATCTAACTTTTTCATTTATTGTAGAGATGAGGTCTCACCACGCTGCCCAGCCTGGTCTTGAACTCCTGGGCTCAGTCAAGCCTCTCGCCTCCGCCTCCCAAAGTGCTGGGCTGACAGGCGTGAGCCACCGCGCCCGGCCAGGTGTCAGTATTTACTTCCTCCTTTGGTACCTACTGTTGAACAGACAATGAGCCGCCACCACCCACATACCCCCAGAAAAGACGTGAGGTCAACAAGCCCAAAGAACCCCCAGGGGAACCCAGCAGGAAGCCACCACAAGGCAGTGCAGCAGCACTGTCTGCATAAAGCACAGCACAGGCAATGTGGGCGGAGTGTCCCTCGCCTGAATGCTCAGGGCAGAAGTGGTTTAGATTCTGGCTCTTCTGCCTGTACCTTAGGAGAGCCCCCGGGGCTAGGGCCCATGTCCAAACGAAATTCATTTGCTTCCTGTGTGTCTTACAGTCTGAAGGCAGTGGTACACAACACTTTAAGCAAGTTTGTGCACGACACAGAGCGTGCAGCGAGCCATCAAAATGCAGGGGTGTCACCAACTCGCCCCGGGCAGGCGCCCTGTGGCCGGCATCCCCTCGCTCCTGCCCGATGCGCCCTGTGAGCTGGCCCTTTCTTCCGCTAGCGCACACACGGGCGGTGGGTGCCGGGGACGCGCGGCATGCTGGTGCGCAGGACCCCGCGGCTTTCGGAGCACTTGGGATTTGGGGATTCGCGACGACCGGCCAGTAAGTTCTGGCTGCCTCACCCCAGGAACGAAGTGTCAGGGTCTCTCAGACTCTCAGACTCTGCAGCTCCAGACTACTCTGAGAAGAAAAGCAGAGAATTCCAGGGTAACACTGCCCGGTCTGCATTTCTCACTGCAGGAAAATGGCCTGGCCGGAAAATCATTTCCCTTCAGGAAATGCTGAACTCCCGCTGGCGTGTGGCACTGTCGACCGGAGGCTCCTGAGGGTCCTGTGCAGATACCCGTCTCTGCTTTGCTCCGGGTTCTGGGTACCTTGCCACAATCCCCGGCTCAGTACGTGCGCCACGGACAGCGTGGGCCCGGCCAGGCCAGGCCCACGTGGCCGGGCGCAACCCTCTGCACTCCTGTCGCAGCCCAGAGCGCACGAGCCCGACGCCCGTGGAGCAGCCGCCACTCCTCTCATGAAACCCAGACCGGACCCAGACCGCGGTTCATGCCCATGGGTTCTGTAGTTCTTAAAAGGGTTGACTTACGATTTTGCGCTTAACTGTTTTTATTTTTTACCTGTGAATCAGGGCACACTACGTGTATACATTTTGTATCTAACTACAACACAACTTTTTTACAGAGACAAGCAACATACGTATACCAATGGCCAGTAACTAACCTTCTAATACTAGGAGTTTTAAACCGTTCGTGTTTACCTCAGACTGGTGTTACCTCTCTGATTATTTTGTATTCACTGGCTCAGATCATGAATCTGTGCCATCTTCTACTGAAAAAGTTCAAGTGGCTTCATTTTGTGCTACTTACGTTTTGTAGCTATTTTTATGCAAATTCTTAAGATGGAAAATTGGACACTTTGTTCACTCTGATTACCACCCACCCCAAAAGGCATTTGAGGCCACTTGTATGTTGCCGTCACCTGGACCCTTGAAGGGAGCTGAAACTGCTGTCAGTGTGAAGTATCAGGGTATCACCTGAATCAGTGTGAAGTATCACGGTATCACATGCACTGGTATGCTGAGGCCTCGTGACAGACATTACAGCAGTTAACCTGACTCCACCCACAAATTTTCCAAGTTTTAATACTTGCTTTTTATTGGGCATAGTCACACTGTATCTAAATGGAAATTGTAGCTTTGCAGGGTATATTTAGGTGAACTTTGAAACTGGACATCAAACGGTGGCTAGGATTTATAAGGATTTTTGCCTGGCAGCAAACAGGTCTGTCCAGATTGTAATTAAGCAGAGAAAAAACGACACAGGGCAGCAAAGGTGACTGTTCAGACGAGAGCCTGGAGATTTGCTCCTGCGAGGATGCTGGGACGGCTCCACTCCTTAGTGGGGCCACCTACACCCCGAGCCCAGTTTTTTTTCTTAAACATGGAACAAGTTACCTAAACTTGCATTTTAAAAAAAGTGAGTCCGTCTTGTTCTCCTCTACTCACCTTACAGGGCCTCTTTAAAATCCCACTGCTGCTGGCTTGGTCTTCAGAAAAGGTGGACTCCACTGACCTGTACAGACCAGCTCTGAGGTGTTTAGCTGTTAGCCAGGGGATCATTTATCCCCTCGGTGCTGCCGTGGGCTCAGCTGGTTGGAAATCTGGAAGCGAGACAAGAGGCCGTAGAGCGCGGCGCACTGGCAATCATGCGTAAGCGTGAGCCTTTACGAGCATGCGTTTCTTAAGTTTCAGGAAGCGAGGCCCTGGGGCGGCTGGCAGTGAAGTGCACTGCGCTGTTACCGCTGGAGCAAGGGCTGGGCTTCAGCTGCTCACTTCCTGAAGGCCTTGGCATGCTGATGCCTCAGCTGTCACTTATATATACCTCATTAACGATGGCGTGGTTAAGGCAACTGAGTCCAGCCTTTCATAATTTCAAGGACAAACTAAAAAATGCTGTACATTTTAGCACTCAATTTTAATGGAAACTAAAAAAAAAACAACCTCCTGCACCATGCTGTTTGTACTAGTATGGCTGCCTGTACTTATTTCAACGCAACAATGTATGAGAAATTAAGTGACTTAGTCCCTTACTTTTCAGTCCCTTAAACGTAACCCCTGTGGAGGAGGCCCTGGAGAGACGGTAAGGGGGCGTATGAGAATCTGAGGTACTTTCTGCTAACTTTTGCTGTGACCCTAAAATGGCTCTTAAAAAAAAAATCTTAAAATACCAACAACAAAAAACTGACCTAACCTAAACAATGAACAGAAACTTAGATTTCTTACCATGTATCACATCTCATGGACATTCTGCTAAATTGATCTAACAAAAAACAACATGTTTTGGTTGCAAAATAATTTACTAAAGGCACTATTGTTAAACATTGAACTAATAATTTGTTGCCAATAAGGTACATCATTGTAAACATGACAAAATGGTTCCAAGAGGTACAGGGCTAGTAGGCAGACAATACAACGTTTTTAAGTGACGGCTTTCCTATGTACAAGACCACGTCCCTTCCAGCCACCCCAGGGCTTGCCTGGGAACAGTTCCTGCGAAGGGTGCTTGGAGCTCATGACCGGTCTGAGATCACAACTGACAAAGATCTTACAAAGCTCCAAAATTCTTCACTCACGGAGGTCAATTCTAAAGCCTGGGCTTACACAGCAAGAGAACTGCTGAGTGCACCCCACCACAGAACACCAAGCAGTGTGGACTCCAAACCCAAAGGAAGAGCTGGTGGGCCAGGCCCCATCACACGTCCAGGCATGAGCTAGTGCGCTCTGCCGAGAGCCACAGTGTCACAGAGAAGGAGAAATGTTCAGAGGCGGCTGTTGGACATTAGCACCATGGCAACCAGATTGCTTCCCCACGAGGTCACATTCACATATGGCTCGAGTGCTGGAAGAGCAGCTTTTCGATGTAACAAGTGATCTAGGTACAGAAGTCGCAGATTTCTCTTCCTATGAGGAAAGCTTAAAACACAAACTCAACAGCATCCCAGAGGCAATACGATCTCGACGTATGAAAGCATATACAAATTAAGGCTACCTTGGTACAGAGAGAGTTCTGAAACGAACATTCCCACCAGATCATTACACAGAATCCACGCAGCGTGTTAAGGAGCCGCAGCAGACGGCTGGCATCTGCGATGCCCATCACACACTGGGCTGCTCTCGGGAGGAGCTGCCCTGCCTTCCTGAACGCCAGCGACAGCGTCAGGAATCCAAGCCAGCGCGGCTGGAACCGCAGCATCAGCCCACGAGTGAGAAAGCCTACTGATCTCCATGTCACCTTTCTAACTAGGACAAAATCCAGGCATGGTGAGTGTTCTTACTTTTGTGGCTTTAATGCCCTTTTGGTTTTCTGACCATTGGACAAAGGGTCTAAACACTGACGTTTTTACTAAATCGTGGCTCCGAGCTGGCACACTGTTCCTCCTAAGCCATGTTTCAGCGAGCACATCTTTGCACTACCAGGGAAAAAGCGAAAGACAAGGACTGGTGTGTCCTGTAAAGAATGGCAGAGTATTCCTAAGGCTGAGCACTGATCTGTGACGCGTGTCCTGCTTCCTGCATGCATGGGCCTTGTTTGTTTGGTCACTAGGCCAGAAGGCTTGGTGTAGCGCTTCTACAATCCAGACCAAAGGCTGTGCACTTCCCACAGGAGCGTCAGCTATTTCCTGTCCAAAATTATAACCACAGACATGGAGAGAAAGCTCTCAGATCCGAAAATGTCTTTATTTTTTAGAAAATGGATTCCAGGGAGGTTAAAAAGCAATACCAGAGGGTATAGGTGCAGAACTGGATGTAGTCATTCAAAGCATTCAAGTAAGAATATGGCAATATAAATATCCAAAAAGCATCCCTTAGGTGTTCAAAACAAAATGTTAAGTCATTCCTAACTGGCTGGAGCTTTACAGCATGTTCCTGGACAGGAAGGGAAAAAGTTAACATTGGAAAGTCCTGAAAGCCTTTTCCTGGGTTAATTTTACATTAGACGGTTTGCCTTTGCTCAAATTCCTCCTTTTAAAAACAGGGATAAAAGTATTACATGGGTCCACTGTTAAACAGACAACATGTTGCAAATTAACTCTGGTATAATGTATCCCAACAAAGCTTAGAAAATAAAGACGCTGAGGTGCTTTGGAGTAAGCTTAGTAGTCATCTCCTCTGCTGACCACCTCCTTACACGTCGGACGCAGCAGGATGGTGTGCTCAAACTGCGCGGTGTATGAGCCTTTGATGTCACACAATGGCGGGTAGGGGTCTACAATGCCCAAGTCACACAGATTCTTGAGCGCCATCAAGTATTTACTTTCTCCCAAGCGATCCAGCCATCTGCGGCAGAAGGCAAGGGTGCCAAAGTTTTCGTTGATGACATTCAGCAAGTGCTTTGTCCTTGGAAGCCTGAGAGGAGAAAAGCCAGGGTTAGCAGTTGGCAAAAGGGTTGCCATATCATCTCCCTCCCTAAGAAACACCCAGACCCTAGCTGCATCTTAGAAACTAGGGTTCAGAAACTTCTGGCGCTGTTCCTCCGGCAGTCAACATGGACACAGCAGCCCATGCCAGATGGCAGGGCAGCTGCAGGGGGACCGCCGGAGCTGTCGCACCACGATCACGAGTCTGTGCGTGTGAGTTGCTCGGTGCAGGCCCATCCACAGAGCACTACCGCGAACATCTCCTTTTTCCATGCACCAGGGTCAAAGACTGCACAAAAAAGGAGCTGTAAATCCAGCCTTCAGCCACTTCTCCAAAGGCGAGAGATCAGTGGGCCTTGAAATATGAGGCTTACCGATGGGAAAGGACAAAGACCAAAATCTGATAGGATGATCACTGGAAAAGGGGGTTGAAGACCGCCTGCCTGTATAAATCAGTTATCTCAGTTAACATTTTCAACAGGCTTATTTTTTTGTATTGTAGAAGCCCACAAAATTTACTGTGAGGTCACAGAGCTGTCCACTTAGGAACGTACCACCTCATATGTGTGTCACACTTTAAAATGCCGTGACCTAGGATGAAACGCTCACTAGCCGTGTGTACACACACACACACACACACACACACACACACACACACACACACACACACACACACACACTTCAGCAGTCTCACCTTATTGGCACGTGTCCAACATCAAAGTTTTTCATGTAATGCGAACATTCCATGTCATCATGAACAACGCCTTTCCCTGTGCTGCCAAAGGTTTCGATGGCATACACTTCTCCTTCCTTAAAGACACATGCGGGTTGGGGGAGAGAAGAAAAACTCAGCAGAGTCACAGGCCCCACTGCCTGACTTCCTGACCTGACAGGGGCGGCCACAAGGAGCAGCTCCTCGAGGCCTCGTCCCAGCCCACTGAGTCTCCTCTCTGGATACAGGTTCCACACCGGCAGTGCCCGCTAAGGAGACTGGCGCCCAGAAGACTCCCACACACTCTCTGAGGAGAATCCACAGTCCATCTACAGCCCCGACTCCCAAGCTGCAAAGTCCTGGTCTGACAGACACGACTTCTACACTCCACAGCCCAGTTCCTGCCAGCGGGGTGTGGGTGGCAAGCAAATTCTGGTCAACGTATTACAGACTAAGTATCATGGGCTTCTGTCAGAAAGGAACATTTCCCAACACACCCACCTCCATCCTTGTGGCCTCCCCGCCCTTCACAATGGGCACGGTCTTCCCAGCATGGATTCTGTACTGCCCAATCGAGTGTCCGTTGAGATTACGGATTGGCTTCACTGTCATAACAAACAGGGAGGTAACATTACTTGAGATCTTTCTAAACAAGATACATCTCTAGTGAATAACCTTACTTTACAGCAGTTTAACCCTTTGTACTCGGATGTCCCCTCTGAGGGAACATAAAGAGATTGCTGGTGATTACACAGGACAAACTTATGGAACTACAAATTTTTCAAAAATGTTATGTTTCCTTGAAGTTTTCCATTCAAAAACAATGATTCATCAAGTTTTCAGGACCCACAAGTACATCCTTCCACATCATCTCTGAACAACAGACTGGATAATAAATTACATATCATTAATGTGGGAGAAAGAAAACAAGACTGCATTGCTCACACAGAATACTACCAGGTGTGAGACCAATGAACCTACAATATGTGTGGTGACTGTTTTATAAGTTACGTTAGAAAAATACACGGCAGCCGGGCTTGGTGGCTCAGCCTGTAATCCCGCACCTTGGGAGGCTGAGGTGAGTGGACTGCCTGAGCCTGCGGGTTCGAGTCCCGCCTGGGCAACTTGGTGAGACCTCATCTCTACAATAAATAAAAAATTAGCCGGGTGTGGTAGTGCACGCCTGGAATTCCGGCTACTCGGAAGGCTGAGGCGGGAGGATCGCCGGAGCCCAGCAGGACGAGGCTGCGGTGGCTGGAAGCGGCAATTGCACTCCAGTCTGGGCGACAGAGTGAGACTCCAACTCAAAAAAAGAAAAGAAAAGAAAAGAAAAATACATGGTATACAATTTTGATTTTTTTTGGTCATAAATAAGTTGCTCAATGTCCAAAATTCCATTATAAGCCAAACATTATTACGATAAGATAACTGGCTCCAACACTGTACTATTTAATATGAAGTGATTAGTTTCTCATTATTTCGTAAAAAAGTGCTCAAGTTGCCGGTAGGTGATCTGTGGGATGTCTCCGAGTGCCAAGGATGAATAGAAATTGCAATCTAGTGGACTATAAAAAGTAGCTACTTAGTGTTACTGAGTAAATACTAGAAAAGGGGACAGAAAAACTAGAATGACTTATAGAATGGGGCAAAACTGTGGCTATCTGATAATAAATAAAATGCCACAAGCACAAGAGATCAGAAACATAAAAATATGTACTTGTACAGTTATGGAACACAGACTAATGTGAAAACGAGGACATGTCAAAATGACAGTATCATGAAGTTTTATATTTTACTATTATATCAACATTTGAAATGCTAGAAAAATCTGTGAGGCTAAGACATGATAGTTAATAAAAAGAAAAAAGATTAACATGAAAATCTAAACAATCCTACAGTCCTGAAAGCAGTAACAGAAGACACAAACCATGGCACAGTCACACAACAGAACACAAAACCAGTACACGTTTAACAAGTAGAATAAAAGTGAAAGACAGCATGAGCAGAGGATAGCACGCTACATACAGAGTGTACAATTCATACATGTAGAACAAAATGAGGCACAATGAAACCGTGGCTTAGGAAGGCACAACTGGACAGTAAGGACACACAGAAAAGCAAATGCAAAGACTTGCACTTGCAGTACTTGGTAAGCCACATTTATTTTAAAGTTCAGCAGCATTACTGTCTCCCTAAGACCCGGCAAGCTGACCCCGCAAGCCAAGACCGGTCCCTAAAGGAAAGCTGCTATGCTTGGAAAGGGCTCATGGAAGCCCTAAGTTCAAAACCGGAACACCCACGTGGGAAGGGCAGTCCGACGGGAGGCGTGTGGGTCCCAGGGCACCATCTCCCTCATGACTGGATTAACACCACTCGCTCAGGAAAGGCCTTGGAAGAGGGCAAATTCCAGCCCTCACACCTCACTGCCGTGGACGGCACAGCAAGGTCTTCGCCAGATCCAGCTCTCGACCTCAGCCTTTCCAGCCTCCAGAAGAGCAAGAAACACATTTTGTTCTCTACAAGTGACCCAGTCTCAGGTATTCTGCTGTAAAGGCACAACAGACTACGCCGATGAGACTGAGGGGCTTTTGGGATGATGGTGACCTTCTATCTCCTGAGGCCTGAGGCTGCACAGCTTTGGCAACTGGGAGGCTGAATTGTTATGCTTTGTGGATTTTCAGTGTTCAATATAGTTCACAATTTTTAAAAAGTTTTTTAAAAATCTTACTCTATAGTACTCGACTCCTCCGTATGACCTGCCTTTCTTCTAGAGCAGAATTAGGCAGCAAGGGTCTTTTCAAATCTAACACTGAACTCTGAGCCGGCTCTTCAAACACCCTTCTTCTCACATAAACGTTAAGATGTTGTCGGGGTGAAAAGGCAGTTGCTCTGGGCTGTCTAGGAGGCATTCTACGTATTCTTATGAACAACTGTGTCATGGCTCTGGGCCATGTGTACAGAGCCCAATGACCTATCTTATGCTCCCTAGTGCAAATGCTGCCAGGGAGGCAAACAGGGGATGACTCCTGACATCAGCCCACAGGTATGCATTCAGAATATTAAGGAAACCCTGATAAACAGAGGAGGAGGCCAGGAGGATAGGTCCTCATGCTCGAACGCCTGAGGGCAAAAAGACCACAAGAACCACGGCCTCACACAGCACTTCTACAGGGATGTGCCCACAAGAACCATGGAAGTGACTTGGACAAAACAGTGACTGGAACAAAGGGACATGAAGATTAAAGGAACACATGAGGCTGGGCATGGTGGCGCACGCCTATAATCCCAGCACTTTGGGAGACCGAGGTGAGAGAATTGCCTGAGTCCATGGGTTCGAGACCAGCCTGGGCAACTTGGCAAGACCTCATCTCTACAATAAAAAAAAAAAAAATTTAGCCAGGCATGGTGGCACATTGCCTGCAGTTCCAGCTACTTGGAAGGTTAAAGCAGAAGGATTGCCTGAGCCCAGCAGGGCGAGGCTGCAGTGGCCGTGAGCGTGCCACTGCACTTCAGCCTGGGTGACAGAGTGAGACTCCAACTTAAAACAAAAAAGGTGACATGAAGAATCAACCAGCTTCCAAATTCTGAATGTGACTAGAAGAACACTCACTCCCACCCCTATTCCCACCACAGGGAACGCCCCCCAGAAGAAGCTCCCAACTGCACAGAGCCTTGGTTCACTGGCCGCCCAGGACGGCCCCTCAGGTGCTCTCTCCTCAGCTACAGCAGGCTAGCAGGAGCGCCTAGGAAGCAGCCACAGCACGCCGGCCATGCTCACCACAGGCCGCTCTTGCTTTCTTTATATTCTCAAGACATAAAGATGAAGTGCTGACCAAAGAAAGCACACAACGGGAGTTCATACAGTCAATTTCAAAACAAGACATTTTAAAAGACACACCTTGGTATGTTTTCCCATCAATTTCAACTTCATAGGACTCCATTACTTCCTGGATGGCCTCACCAACATCACACAGACGAACATCGATTCCAGCACACTAAAAAAGAGAACAAAGCAACTTAGTTCCCTGATATTTGAAAATAAGAGACAATCAGAAAAACTGCTTTGTACATTATAACTTCTTGAATAAAAGTCCCTGGAGAGGACTGCAGGAAGATGGCGGAGCAGGAAGCACCAGGGTCTTCCACACAGATAACAACTGCCCCAACACTAGCAGAAGAAAGGAACGAGCAACAGATGACAGGGGGCAGGAAACTGAGAAAAGGTTGGTTCTTTGAAAAGGGCAGCAAAACTGATTAGCCTTTAGCTTGATGGACTAGGAAAAACAGAAAACTCAAATTACTAAAGTCAGAAACAGAAGTGGAAATACTACTGATTCTTTAGAAATAGAAAGGATAATAAGAAAGAACTATGAGCAACTGTACAATTCCAACTGTGTAACCTAGACAAAATGGGCAAACTCCTAGAAATAAAAAAAACCTACCAAGAATAAACCACAAAGAAACAGAAAATCTGAATAGACCTAGAACTAGTAAGGAGATCGGACCAGTAGCCAAAAACCTTTTGACAAAGGAAAGCCCTTGACTGACAGCTTCATTAGTTAATTCTACCAAATATATAAAGACTACCAATCTTTAAACTTTTCTTAAAAAATTGAAGAGGAGGAAATACTTCCTAACTCATTTTATTACACAAGCCATACCCTGATATCCAAGCTAGACAAAGATGCTACAAGAATACTAGACCAATGTTCCTTATGAACACTGATGGAAAATCCTCAACAAAACATTAATAAACCTAATTCAATAGCATGTTGAAAGGAATACACACCATGACTCAGTAGGATTAATTCCTGGAATGCAAGGTTGGCTCAACAAAACCACCCAATGAAAAACCTACAGCTAGCATCATATTGAATGGTGAAAGCTTTTCCTTTTTCCAGTCTGTCTTTTTTTTTGGAGTTGGAGTCTCACTCTGTGGCCCAGACTGGAGTGCAGTGGCCGCTCCCGGCCACCGCAGCCTCGACCCGCTGGGCTCCAGCGATCCTTCCGCCTCAACCTTCCGAGTAGCCGGAATTACAGGCAAGCGCTATCATGCCTGGCTGATTTTTTGATTTATTGTAGAGATGAGGTCTCACTGCCTAGGCGGGTCTCAAACCCGCAGGCTCAGGCAATTCACTCACCTCAGCCTCCCAAAGGGCGGGATTACAGGCTGAGCCACCGAGCCCGGCTTCCAGTTTGTCATTTTTACTCACATAGCACAGAACAATCAGGCAAGAAAAATCAAACACATCCAAATTGAAAAGGAAAAAAGTACAATTATCTCTGTTAACAGATGATATGCTCCTACATGGAGAAAACCCCAAAGATTCTACACAAAAAAAGTGTTAAAATAAATGAATTCAACAAAGTACAGGACTCAAATAAAACATTAAAATCAGTTGCAATTCTATATACTAACAATGAACAACTGGAAAAGAAAAGTACAAAGCACAATACCTCTAAGACAATAAAATACTTAGGAATTAACTTAACCAAAAAGTGGAAAGGCGTGTATAGTAAAAACTACAAAATGATGCTGAAAGAAAGCAGAAATAAAACAAATGTAAACACATCCCATGTCCAGGGACTGAATGGGCAAATGACTTGAACAGACATTTCTCCAAAGCTGATACGTTACTGTTTTTAAAAAAGAACTGAACACCCAGCGAGTGACAAGCGTTGGCAAGGAGTGGAGAAACTGAAACCCTTCCTTGTGCACTGCTGATGGGAATATAAAATGGTACCGCCACCATGGAAAACAATATCCCACAAGTTTAAAAATACATATAAGTATCACTTGATTCAGCAATTTCACTTCTGGGTACACACCCACAAGCACTGAAAACAGTCTTGAAGAAATACTTGTACATCCATGCTCTAGCAGCACTGTTCACAACAGCTAAAATGCAGAAGCCATCCGGTGTTTGTCAGTAGATTAATGGACAAGAAAAACGTGGTATATACACACGTTGGACTATTCAGTCTCCAGGGAGGAAGTTCTGACACGTGTTGCCACAGGGATGAACCCCGAGGACACTGCGCCAAATGAAACAAGCCAGTCTAAAAACAAACACAGTACGAGGCACTTCCAGGGGTCAAACTGTCCACAGTTTGCAGACAGAGGTCCTTATGGTAGTCCACCATCTCCAGACAGTAGAATGCAATTGTCGCCGGGCTTGGTGGCTCAGCCTGTCATCCCGCGCGTTTGGGAGGCTGAGGTGAGTGGATGGCCTGAGCCCGCGGGTTCGAGACCCGCCTGGGCAGCGAGACCTCGTCTCTACAATCAACCAAAAAATCAGCCGGGCGTGGTAGCGCGCGCCTGTAGTTCCGGCGACTCGGAAGGCTGAGGCGGAAGGACCGCCGGAGCCCAGTGGGTCGAGGTTGCAGTGGCCGGGAGTGGCCACTGCAATCTAATCTGGGCGACAGAGTAAGACTCCAACTCGAAAAAAAAAAGAAGCCAGGCTCAGTGGCTCAGCCTGTCATCCCCCGCCTTTGGGAGGCTGAGGTGAGTGGATGGCCTGAGCCTGTGGGTTCGAGACCTGCCTGGGCAGCGAGACCTCATCTCTACAACAAATCAAAAAATCAGCTGGGCGTGGTAGCGTATGCCTGTAATTCGGCTACTTGGAAGGCTGAGGCGGAAGGATCGCCAGAGCCCAGCAGGTCGAGGCTGCAGTGGGAGCGGCCACTGCGCTCCAGGCTGGGCCACAGAGTGAGACTCCAACTCAAAAAAAAAAAAAAAAAAGAATGGCGGTTGTCAAGGGATGGAGAAGGGTGAAAGTTGGGAGCTACTGTTCTATGGGTACACAGTTTCAGTTTTACAAGATGACAGTTTTGGAGGTGAATGGTGACGATGGCAGCACAATATCACGAATGTCCTTAATGGCAATGAACAGCACACTTAAAATGGTTATCACAGTAAGCTTTATGTAATGCGTGTTTTAGCACCAAAAAAACATTGAGAGAAAAAAAGTTGAACTGCATCAGGGTTTAGCGGGAAGGAAGGGATGAATTGGCTGAACACAGGACTTTGGGGCAGTGAAAATATCCTGTATACTATAATAGTGGACACGTCATTATACATTTGGCAAAATCCACAGAATGTGTAAGACTAAGTGAACCCTAACATATGCCAAACTTCAGAAGATGCTGATGTGTCCCTGTTGGTCCAATGATTTTAAAAAATATATCTCTTTGGTGAGGGATATTGATAGTGGAGGAATTTGGGATGGGGGGATACAGGACATCTCTCTACCTTCTGCTCCATTTTTCTATGAACCCAAAACTGCTCTAATAGTCCACTAAATACACACAAATTACACACAAACATACACACACAAATTGCTAACTGACAAGCAAAAAACAAAATGCAAACTCTGTTTTAAAACATTAGCAAAGTTGAAGGGGGAAATAAAAAACAATTACCCACCTAAGATGCTAAGGGGAATGGGCCAGTTTTATTAACCTTAATTACCCAAAGACCTTAAACAGGCCTTAAAATTGCCTCAGATCTTAAGTGTTCATGATATGTTGCATGAAATGGTGCTTACAGTTCACATACCTTTATTCCAGTATTAGTAGCATCTTTTACAGCTTTTAATAATGTGTCATATTTGGGATTAAAAGTGACAGTAAAAGCACAGTCAATAATCCTACCTGAAAGAGAAAATTCCTCTTTAAGTTTATTGATCAGCTAGTCAACTTATGTACTTTACAACAGTCATTGTATTAAGCTTGCTAGTGTAACACAAAAATAGAATAATGGGCTCAAACAAAGGCAGCCCTCCATGAACCGAGAGGTCATTCAAAGTCAAAGAGGCAAGAAAGCAGAAAGTATAGGAGGGACTCGGAATGAAACAGTAACAGGGTTAGTATATGTTACTCCAGACAGCACCCATGCAGTGCTCCCAGGTAGCTATGCAAACAAATACGCAGCAACAGAAAGCCACCCAAGACTGGGAGATGAGGACTAGCACTGTGGGGAAGGGAAAGTGTCCAGGGCTCTAAATGCAGTGCCGCCTCCCCCGTTTGGTAAAACCGAGGGTAAGGAGCTACTCCAAGCTTGCTTTCTCACCTGCCAAGTTATAGAACAAGGTTTCACCTGACCGGGTGTCAGGGAGAATTTAGAAAAGTAACCACGTTTACAAAGCTGGATAAACTTAAAGGTTTTAAATAAACATCTGCTGTATTAGACTAAATACATAAAACAGTGACTTAAATGAAGAAATGCAGGATCACACAGTTTTCATGCCATGATAAAACAGGCAGCAAACCACAATACCCGATAGTTTTCACTTTATTCCACTTAGAAGGATGATGTACATCTGCCTCTCTTCTTTTTTTTTTGCATGGGAATCTCACTCTACGGCCCAGGCTGGACGGAGTGCTGCGGCACACTCACAGCCACTGCAGCCTCAACTTGCTGCACTCGGGCGATCTTTTCACCTCAGTCTCCCAAGTCGCTGGAACCACAGGCACACGCCACCCCACCTGGCTAATTTTTTGATCTGTTGTAGAGAGGAGGTCGCGCCAAGTTGCCCAGGCTGTCTTGAACCCCTGGGCTCAGGCAATCCTCTCACCTCTGCCTCCCAAAGTGCAGGCAGGGAGTACAGGCATGAACAACCATGCCTGGTTAAATCTGACTCTCTCTTCTTATTAAGGCACACAAAAAAAAATCTGCCTCAACACAAATCTTCTGAAAAGTGAGAAGGCAAGGACAAAATCTGGGGGTTCCATATTATTGCTCCATTTAAGAGGGACAAAAACAAAGAGTTAGCAGGGAGGGACGCAGGGCAGGAATCTTGTGCAAGACTCACCACTTATGTGTGTCCCAAAGTCAATCTTGCAGATGTCATCGTACTGCAGCACTGTTGTGTCACCGGCATTGGGAGTGTAGTGGGCAGCACAGTTATTGAGGGAACACCCCGTGGGGAACGCCAGGCCTGCATTCAGCCCATTCTCTTTTATGAGCTTGCGTGAACAGTCCTCCAACTTTTCACTAGAACAAAGAGAGAAGGGCGTCTGTGTATTTTTACATTCTTACCCTTACACACTGTGTAGCTCAGCAAGTCCACCAAGTTTACTGAAATCCTTAAATTACTTTCTGGGAATGATCTGGGCACTTTTCTGAATATAAGCAACAATTCTCTGACGCTACAAAAACAGCTCATCTTTAAAAGATAAGGCATTTGACTACACTAGAAACCTGGAGAAAACACACTCCACTTGTAACTTAGTTTAGTGGAAATAAGAGTCTGACTTACAACAATTTAAATGCTGATTTTATTTGCTCATGTTGCCTTTTTTTTTTAAATTAGAAAATATAGTTTATTTAAAAACTAAGCTAGAAAGGGGGAGAGAGGGACCAAGGGGGAGAGAGAAAGGAGATTCACCTCCCCAAGGTAGGGGAGGAGGCCAGAGCTTAAGAAAATATGGTCTGGCCATAGCTCAAAGAGCACATGGCCACATCATAGCTCAGCGAGGCAATGACCCTCGTGCTGCATTTTTAAAAATTGTCTGAATCAGAGCATTAACTTGTCTTTTACACTAGTTATTTCCAAAAAGGAAAAACTACAGAAATAATTACTTTTATTGGCATCTTCACGGCATTAAGTTTTGTGTCTGTGCATTTACTCCAAGAATTTTCACTTCTCAATGTGACTCGCTGGACGGCAGAGTAACAGATTTCCAGTTAGAAAATAAGACTCAGCAACGAGCACAGCGCACACAGCAGGGTGGCGGCAGCACCAACGTGTGCGCCTCTCAGGGCTCCCATTCCAGCGGCACCCTGGCAACTCAGACGACACCTCTAGAATTGCCACTTAAATGGTTCAGCAGAATGGTTATGAAACCTAAGCATCACACCTGGAGAGTCAGTACTAATTTACAGCGTGTCTTTTCCCCACGTCCTTATGAAAACGCGCCCTTTTACCAGATTTCTATCATTGCCATCCCAGGCCGGATCCAGCTCATGACGTATTTCCTGACTTGCCGGTGAGCCTCTGCGGCTTCTCGAAAGTCATTCCAGACCTCCGCGCTCGCCTGGTCCAGGGCTTTCTTCTCTTCGCTCGTGGTTCTCCAGGCAGCTGTTCGCCTTTACAGGAGCACAGGACAGGGTCAGTGACGCAAGAATCAGAGCACACGCAAAAACAAGGGAGGCAAAAATACACTGAGTAGTAAGACATTTCAGACAGAAACACCACATTACATGTGCAGCTTCTTCATATCAGTGAGGTTTCTGAAATACAAGAAGCCATAGTCTGCAATCAACCCGAATGAGGCTGAGCATCTCCTAAAGTTCTAAGGGGACTGGAAAATTCTCGGGTGAGGTTCCATTCACCGTCACAGGAATACAAGCTCTGTCAACAGAACGGCAAGACTGAAGAGCCCTAATCAAAGCCAGAGGGAAAGTCACCCTTCCACTGCAGGTTACATACATGAAAGAGACGCTGAAGGAGCACAAGGACACCTCACAATTAACTTTGATCTGAAAATCTGGATATACACCCCAAACACATATCATGTATTTGTGCAGAATTTTTCTAATTGTACATCCATTAGATGTAATCTTCCTTGAAAGATATGGCTCACATTTCAGAACTGCTAGGAATAGCAATCTCTTTTTCTTAGAGATGGGGGTCTCACTGTCACCAAGACTGGACTGCAGTGGTGTGATCACAGCTCACTACAGCCTTGACCTCCTGGGCTTAAGCAATCCTCCTGTCCTAGGCTCCCCAAGAGCTGGGACAGGCACATGTCACACCACCAAGCCAATTAAAAGAAAAATTTAGAGACAAGGTCACTATATGTTGCCCAGGTTGGTCTCAAACTCCTGGTTTTAAGTGAAACTCTTGCTGTGGTATCCCAAAGTGCTGGGACTACAGGTTTGAGCCATCCCACTAGCAGAATTTTTTAAATTCAGTATCTACAATGAGACCCATCAATTCCTTTTAAGCAGTACATTTTCAAAAATATGAACTGTTTTGGAATAAAATTTTCTTTTCTTTTCTTTTTAATTAAGAGATGGAGATCTCGGTATATTGCCCAGGCTGGTCTCAGACTCCTGGTCTCAAGCAATCCTCCCACCTCACATCTCCAAAGTGCTGGGATTTACAGATTTGAGCCACTGGAGTTGGTCTAGAATGAAAATCTTTTAAAAACTTATTACAACTTTTATGCATTCTTAAAAAATATTGAAAATATAGTTCACAACCCACCAGTCACTGAGTATAGGTTACATTAGAGCATAAAACTGAGACTTCCATGAAATCACCATTTTCCTCTCAGCCAGTGCCTCTAAGCCTACAGGCAAGTCTAGTCCGGTGTTTGTTTTGTAAATACAATTTTACTGTAACACAGCTGTGCTCCTTCGATTATATACTGCCTGTAGCTACTTTCATGCTATAATACTCGAGGCCTGAAATATTTACCACATGGCACTTTACAGAAAAGATAACCCAACTCGGCCACTGAGCTGCAGGCCCCAGCCAAGGTAGGAGGACCGCCTGAGACCAAGAGTTCAAAACCAGCCTGGGGAACACAGCAAGACCTTGTCTCTTGGAGGTGGAGGGCAGTGTGGCCAGCACGTCAAGGCCTAGCTACTAGCTACAACGGAGGCTAAGGTAGCAGAGTCACCTGAGCCCAGGAATTAGAAGCTGCAGTGAGCTATGATCACATCACTACATTCCAGCCTGGGCAATGGGGCGAGTCCTCGCCTCTAATAAATAAACAAAAGACATTACTATCCTTGTAAAACAAAACTATCAAAACAACTACTTGAAAGATTATCTTCACAGGAAGCGTGCACAGAGTATGTAAACTTCTCCTACCCCTTTGGCACTTTTCAATATTTCATCATTCTTACCTATGGCTGTAAAAGGACAGGCAAATATACGTAAAAGCTAAAGATACTAACACAGGTGTCTGAATATTAATGAATTTCAGACAGCCATAAAGCCTTCTGAATCCACTGTGTGGAAAACTTACAATTTAATTATATTTGTATCTTTAAAGCACCATGGGCCATATTTATAAAAACCATATATAAATGCATGCCTCTTTAATCCAAAAATAACGAGAAACGAATGCAGATATCACACAAATTCCTTCCTCTGAAAACTGATACTTAAAGTGTAAAAGATACAGCATGTTTTAACTCTGTAAGAAGAAACAATCATTGATCCCAGTCGATCAGACTCTTCTTACAGACTAAAATCACCTGATAAACGCAGCTGAAATAACAGACCGAGAAATCTCCCATTCTGCAGTCCCCAGTGAGATCACGGACATGCAAAGTCATCAGTGGATACGCGGAAACTGAGTGAAAGGTTGAGGATTTCCTTTCCTCTCAAGCTTGCACAGAGCAACTCAATAAGTGAATAATAAGAAAGGGAAGCCGGGCTCAGTGGCTCAGCCTGTAATTCCGCGCCTGCCTTTGGGAGGCTGAGGTGAGTGGATTGCCTGAGCCCGCGAGTTTGAGACCTGCCTGGGCAGCGAGACCTCATCTCTACAATAAATCAAAAAATCAGCCGGGCGTGGTAGCGCGTGCCTGTAATTCCGGTTACTCGGAAGGCTGAGGTGGAAGGATCGCCGGAGCCCAGCAGGTCGGAGCCCAGCAGGTCGAGGCTACGGTGGCCGGGAACGGCCACTGCACTCCAGTCTGGGCGACCGAGTGAGACTCCGACTCAAAAAAAAAAGAAAGGGATATTCCAGTGACAACAAGGGACCCCACAGATCAGCTGCAAACTGCCAAAAGAAAGACGTGTCTAAAAAAAAAGAGCTGCCATCACCACATAAACCAAGGGGTCAAACACAGTGAAACCACCAGAACAGCCTGACATTACATCTAATGCCACAAAATATTATACAGTGTGAAGGTCACAATCACTCTGGATAGATCCCTGCCAAAGTTTAATGCAAACCTAATCTAAGGCTGTTAACACCTCGGTCCAGTTTATAGAAAATACAGAAATAGAGGAAAGAGTTTAACGATGCCACAGGGAAACAACTGGAGAAATCCCAGAATACCAGACTTTCTGCAACTGCCTGGTTTCTTCGACTCAGTGCAATGGACAGAAAGATAAAAAAGTGCCATATGCAATGTACAAACCTCAGCTGGATCCTGGTTTTGGAAAGCAAACAAACATTATTATAGCTATTAAAAATTGGTTTCATAGCTCCTTGGGAAGCTAAGGCGGGAGGACTCCTGGAGCCCAGGATTTTAGGCCAGCCTGGGCAATTCAGTGAGACCTCATCTCAAAACAAAACTTAAAAATTGGTTTCAGAAAATGTCCAGTGATGTAGAAAATGCATACAGCATGTTAATTTTTTTTTAGGAAGGTCAATAAACCGTTGTAGTATAAACTGACTCAGTTAAGAATTGTGAACATATGCTACATGCAAGAGGGGCATTCACAAGAACACAAATTACTAATTACAAGAGGAAAAAATAGCAATGATGCAGTGGAGAAACTGCATAATACCATAACCAAGTGACAAAAATTAACAGCATCCAATAAGGAGTAAACAGACCCTGTCAGCGGCCAAGTGTCCCAACCAAAAGGCACAACCTGCTCTCAACGGTTTAGAAAAAACAGCAGACACACAGATTCGCCGATTGAACATTTTCCACATTTGCCTTCTGTCCGTCTTCCAAGGAGAAAATGAAAGCCTATTTGCATATGATATGCAAGATGTGTAAGTGTCACGATCCATTGGGAAGAAAACAAATGTGGCAAAACAAAGGGAATCTGGCTGAAAGGCATGTGGGTGATGTTGATTGTACTATTCTTATACATATGAAATCATTTTAAAATAAGAAGTTCAAAAACATGCACGTACCCTAGTTGCAGTTTTGTTTTTTGTTTCTGAGTTGGACTCTTACTGTGTCACCCAGGCTGGAACGTAGTGGCACATGCACAACCACCACAGCCCCCTTGATCTGCTGGGCTCAGGTGATCCTTCTGCCTCAGTCTTCCACGTAGCCGGAACTACAGGTGTGTCACCACGCCTGGCTAACTAAGTCATAGTTATACAGGTGAGTTTTTGTGGTAATTCATTCAATCTTCACTAAAAGTTTATTAAAGAAACAATGGAGGTAAGATACAAACTATATTCAAAATTTTACCAAATCTGTATGAACACTGATTCTGATCTATTTGCAAACAATCAAAACTGGGTCAGGCATGGTGGCTCACTCCTATAATCCCAGCACTTTGGGAGGCCAAGGTGGGGAGGACTGCTTGAGCCCAAGAGTTCACTACCAGCCTGGGCAACATGGTGAGGCCCTGTCTCTACAAAAAAATAAAAAAATTAGCCAGGCATGGCAGCATGCACTGGTAGTCTAATCAGGACACTGAGGCGGAATTGCCTGGGCCCAGGAAGTTGAGACTGCAGTAGCCGTGGTTGTGCCACTGCACTCCAGCCTGGGCAACAGAGTGAGAACCCCACAACTCAGAACAAACAGTCAAAACTGGTTATATGAATGTAAAAAAACTGAGATGTATTAAAGAGCAAACATCATTATCTTATACTTCTTTTGTATTTCTCCAAGATAGTGCACAATACTGCAATATTTAAGAAAACTATTATTTGACAGCTATTGTAATGTGTAACTAGTATCTTCCTCCATTTCAAAAATATAAGTTATTCCACCTATATGTGTAATTTGCAAGAGAAGCTGAGAATGGAGAGGTCGTTTTTGAGATATATAAAATCTCACTGTTCTCATGTATTAAGCGCCACTCCAAGTGGTCCTCAATATTCACACTGTTAGAATACTAACAATCTCCTAGCAAGTATGGAAACCAATGGCTTTCTTCCCCTCCAGCAATAAGCACAGAGAATGAAAATGAACTTAAAATACTTCATCCACACTTGGAACAAAAACCATAAAACACTTAAGAATAAATTTAATAAAAAGCAGATAGAACCTACCAAAAAAACCTGAATGTAAGTGGAAAAAAAAATAGCAAGACAAGGTGATAAAACTGTCAATTTCCAGAAACTAATACATAAACACAATGCTATCCTGATGGGAGTTCTAACAAAAGTCTCTCTCTGTCTCTGTCTCTCTGTCTCTCTCTCTCTCTCTGTGTGTGTGTGTGTGTGTGTGTGTGTGTGAGACTACAAAATCCATAAGCACAAGTCAGAACTGCGTTTGGGTGTGTGTGACAAAAGAATGACGTGTCTTATCAAATATTTAGAGTATATTACAAAGTCTCTGATATCAAATCAAAATAGTAACAGCATAAGAATAGATCAGCAGAGTAAATCATCCAGATACTGATTTCGTCACACATGAGAGGACAGCAGGGACAAAGGTGGGAGTTCAAGTCAGTAGAATGAATGACTTAATAAACAATAAACTGGCTATCCAAAAGGAAGAAAAAAAATTAGCATTCCCAATCTTACACAAAAACTCCAGATCATTTAAAGATGTAATAAAACAAAGTAAGAGTTCAAGTAAATCTGAGAGACCGTTAGAAACCCAGAAGTATAAACTATAGACCGATATTGCCATTTTAAAATTTGAAATTGCTGGAAGAGCAGAAGACACCATGAACAAAGCCCACAATCCAAAGGTGCTCAGAACCACTAGTACTCTCAGAAGCGTACACTAACGCATTAATACATTCCTTGATTCATCAACCCCCTCCTCTCTCCTAATACTATAACTACCAGTACATGAGAGACAGATACACACTCTCCCTACCTAGAGGTTTACTGCAGAATGGTTTATAGTAGCAAAAAATACACCAAGTGAATGGACATCAACAAGAGAATGGTGGAATAAAGTATGGTATATTCACACCATGGACTATCATGATGCCACTCAAAACAGTAGAACTATAATTTTTTTTTTTTTGGAGTTGGAATCTCACTCCGCCGCCCAGACTGGAGTGCAGTGGCACACTCCCTGCCACCGCAGTCTGGACCTGCTGGGCTCCGGTGATCCTTCCACCTCATAGGTGTGTGCTACCACGCCCGGCTAATTTTTAATTTATTGTAGAGATGTCTCGCCAAGTTGCCCAGGCGGGCCTCGAACCCACGGGCTCAGGCAATCCACTCACCTTGACCTCCCAAAATGCTGGGATTACAGGTTGACCCACCAAGCCTGACCAAACTATTCTAATTGACTTGGAGGGACGTTCAACAGTCAGTACTGAGTGAAAAAAGCAAGGTGGAAGAAAGGGTACCTAGAATCCCCTTTTTGTAAAATCATGACCAAACACTCCTCTTACATAAACGAAGATGTACACAGATATGAGTACAGAAAAAATATGGATGGCTACCTGCTAGGTGGTTAACATGGGTCTGGGAAGGAAGGGAAAGAAGAGGAAACAAGCAAAAAAAAAATTTTTAAAGATATTTAAAAATAAAAATGTGATCACATCATATGCAGTATGAGAACGTATTAATGCAAAATTATACGTATCTGTGACATTTAAAAATAGACCTTTTAGGACAGGAACAGCAACTGATGAGTTTAAATTCAAAGAAAAGATGCCCATGCCACAAAATTCCAGAATCTCTTAGACTTACCCTCTAAGAACATTTGTAACTACAAGTGAGAGAGGAGAAAACTCAACAGTATGTTCTTTTCCAAGTTCAAAGAAAAACGCTGGCATCCTCACAGGTCCAGGAAACAGCCCACAGCAGAAGCTTCTTACAAGCCACTGCAGCCACCGAACTAACCAATGTTCTGCGCTTCCTATTGAAAACACCGTCTGAGGCCCCGGGACTGTGAGTGCTTGAGGCTGACACGGATAACAATCAGAGCAGCTAACCAACGTGCACTCTGCACCTGTTACTCTGCTAGGTGCGGAGTGCCCATTTTAGGATGGGGAAAGGAAAACACAGACATGATAAGTTACTTGCCCAGATCACAAAGCTGAGACATGGAAGTCAGAACTGGGCTTCAAATCCAGGTGGTCTGGTCCAGCTCCCATGCTCTCCATCGGGCGACACAATGCCACCATGAGCCCCTGCTGACACCTGAAATGCACCCTGCAGAAAACTTCCAGGCCTCAGGCATATCTGTTCCCAAAGCTGCTTACGTCCTCTGTGCTTGTTACTGTAATCATGCCATTCAACGAGGTTATGTAAAAAGAGTTGTTCCCACCGGGCTTGGTGGCTCAGCCTGTAATCCCGCGCCTTTGGGAGTCTGAGGTGAGTGGATTGCCTGAGCCCGTGGGTTCGAAACCCGCCTAGGCAACTTGGCGAGACTCCATCTCTACAATAAATCAAAAAAACTAGCCGGGCATGGTAGCACGTGCCTGTAGTTCCAGATACTTGGAAGGCTGAGATGGAAGGGTCGCCGGAGCCCAGCAGGTCGAGGCTGTGGTGGCCGGGAGCAGCCACTGTACTCCAGTCTGGGCGACAGAGTGAGACTCCAACTCAAAAAAGAGTTGTTCCCATGAAAATTAAGTTGACTACTCTGAAAAGTCTCAATCAAGACAAGTCACCAAAAAGCACTCCTGTCCAATTCAGCATCAATAAGCACTGCAAACAGTTTCAGGAAAACAGAGTAGAAAGACCACATTCACCCTTAGGTCACTGGGTTCTTGCTCCCCTCACAGAAACCCAGGTGAGACTGCAGACAGCTCATCAGGGACACAGTTGGCGAGGGGAGAGCAGGACCCATGCAAACATGTGCTCAAATATCAAAAGGTAGAAACAAGTCTAAGCTGACTTTTAGCGACAGAGATGCTTATTTTTGTGATTCCCACTTTAATATATTTAATGTATTTCATGACCCAACATGTTGCTGGTCCCAACAATTTTGGATAAGAGAGCTTTTACTGTATTTTCTTTGCACAAATTCACGTTGATTAACACACTGGAGCAAATTGCTGAGAAGAAAGCAACCCACTGTACTGCTAAGCTACGATTGTCAGAGATTAAATGAAGTTACCGCAGGATCCTTACCCATCTTGTGTAGGGGGGTATTCACACTCTTGTCCTTTGGGAAATACACCGCTAGGATACAGGTCACGTATTGGAACCGAGGGAGGGTCTGTCTGCACTTTTGCTGTAAGACACAAACAAAGCATTAGCGCATTTGTAGTTAAAAATAAAATAAAGCAGCTGCTACAGCTTTCTCCATTCCAAATAGTTGTTATACGTCCTGATTGTAAGGAACCTTCTAGCTGTCACCAGTTAAAACAAAGACACTTCACTAGGCTGGCTACTGACTCACTGCTGTTGGGAGAATAACTCTCCAGTCCCTTAGAACTCCACTATGCATTGAGTAGCACATGCCTTGGTGGAAAGCAAAAAGCACGCTTCTGATATTTCATCTTCATCCATTACCCCAGAGATGGGTGGAGCACTGACAGGTTGGCGTTCACAAATAAAAACCAAAGTAACAAGAAGATAAGAAGTCCTATAGCAATAAAATAAAAACGTAAACCTGTTAAGTGTTAATAAAATAAGTGAAGCACTATTATTTCAAGGGCATTTCAAGTACAAAAGAGCATACATCATCAATGCTGGTCTTTTGAAATCTTTTTTTGTCAAACTATAATCTCATCACCTATAGCTTTAGCTCATCTGCAAATCTCATCAAGATGCCTTTCACACTGTCCACAAATTGAGGCATGTTAAAAAGGTCATTAGAGGAAAAAATACAGAATTTGTCACCAGAATAACAGAGCTGGAGTATAACCATTATTAGCTGTGACTTGGACAAGTGGCTACACAGTGCCAAGCCTCAGCATCCTTGTCTCTGAAATGAACAACCAGATAAGATCCTTGGATAACCTCTAAAAATGAGAATGTACTACATCCAAGTCATCACATACACTATGAACGACCTGTACTACTATGAACTGCAGTTACCATCAACTGTTGCTTAGAACCCTACACTTGCACAGATGTGGGAATGAGGGCAGTGAGGTGCCTGTGACTACATGACCTGGCGTATTCCAGAAACAGTTTCAGGCAGCCTACCATGGATCAAAAATACAGACACAAAACAGATCAACTACCCAGGAAAAGCACAACTATTCTTGATACCAAGATCAGAAAAAAAGAGTGCTTCTAGAGAGTGCTCATAAAAAACATCACCCACAGTACATTTACCACCACTCTCAGAGGCGGCACAACAATGGGAGATGGCATCATACTTGAACACCTGCCAGAAGAATTCTACCGGGGCAAATATAAAACAGTCTCTCAACAGCCTTCCTGCCCGTCTGCCTTCCTGAGGAAGCAATTTTGGGGTACTTGGAGAAGCAGGTCATTCTTTTTTAAGTTTTCATTTATTTTTTACTTATAATTTTTTTTTAGATCTGGGAGTACATGTACTTAAAATAAAATTTAAAAAGGGTTCCACTCTGTCACCCAGGTTGGAGTACAATAGCGCAATCCCAGTTCACCGCAGCCTCAAGCTCCTGGGCTCAAGTTATCCTCCCATCTCAGCCTCCCAAGGAGCTGGGACCACAGGCATGCAGCATCATGCCTTTTTTTTTTGGTAAAGATGAGATCACTGTGTTGCTCAAGCTGATCTCAAACCCCTAGGCTCAAGCAACCCTCCTGCCTTGGTCCCTCAAAGTGCTAAGATTACAGGCATGAGTCACTGCACCCAGCCAGGGGTACATACACTTTTTAATCACAGCCACTCTGACTGGTGTGAGATGGCATCTGTGGTTTTGATGTGCAGCAAAAAAACAGGTGTCTCTTAACGTTCTCAGTCACACTTTCAATGATTTTTGAATGGAAGAACAAGGATATCAGAACACCTGGAGAATTCCCACAACCCGAATAACTCGTGCCTTCACAGGCCAGGAAAGAGAAGACACCCTCTTCTGAAAGTGAAAGAATCTAGCAAGGATGGATACCTGAACCGAAAGCAGGCTGTCCTGCCTCCAAACTTTCTGATTCATAAAACATCAGCCCCTTCCAAAGGGAATCAACGAGGAAACTGAAAGGTCAGCCTTTGAAGAGTCAGAATTAAAGCCTGTGTCTGGAAGGCACAGCAGACACGCAGTGGTCTCCGACATCCCAGAGGGCATCCAGGCTGGGCAGGCATGTGCTCTGATCCTCAGTCCAACCCTCGTTCCCCAGTGCTACACAGCTTCGCCCCGCCCCCGGCCTCCTAGCGGACTTCCAGGCCCTGACGAGGTGTGGTCATGCCGTTTATAGAAACAAGGAGGATTATATGTTACACAAATGTGAGATAGTTCAAAAGTCACGAATAAAATCTTACCAAATGCACACATCTTAAATAAGGGGATTCCTCATTAAATGTTCATCTAGAATCTCCTAGTTTCAAAGCTGTCAGGTGAACTGCAAACTCTGACTAGCACCACGTCAGCCATTCCTGACAGGAGTATTCTTTGAATTATCCAAAGCTTAAATTATAAAACTGTTAGAAATTCATCCCTAACTTGCAGTGAGATGCAACCAACTCATACTGACATCCCTTAGCTGACTAAGAGCTAAAGAAAATACCACAAGACTGTCACACCAAAGTATTTTCTAGAGAATTACTAGTCCCACTAAATTCCACCTCTAAGTGTATGTACCTGACATTTACCGGGACCTTATGTAACCTCAATCTTACTCTTCAAATCTGTCGATCGATACACTCCTAACCCATCAGTAAGACTAACTGATGACACTCACGTCCTCGTTTCTTCTTCTTCTTCTTCTTCTTCTTTCCAGTCGCTCCATCTCCGTCACCGTCTCCATCTAGAAAAAGACGTCTCCAGTACATGTTCACTTAAACCTCATAAGCAGAGGGATAAAGCCAGTACAAGGAGGCAAGTATTCAATCCAATCAATCAGTGAATAAATGGTTTTTGTTTATTTTATCTCATTTATGTTTAGTCTTTCACTAAAATAGGAAACGGGAAACAGCTGCTGGGACCAGCCACTCTGGAGGCTGAGGAAGGAGGACGAAACTCAGGAGCTGGGAGTCCAGCCTGGGCAACCAGCAAGATCCTGGCTGCAAAGTGTTTTCGGAAGCGGAAATAGGAAGAGCAGCTTAGCAAGTGGGGCAGCATACCTAGGACTTCCACGGGGCGGACAGTATGGACAGCCAATATGCGACCATGTCTGATTTACAAAATGGCCACTTTGGCTCACTCTTATAACTTTATTAGGACCCTCGCAGGCAGAGGAGCACAGCAGAAATGCAAATGCTGCTGGCTTTACGCATCACTGGTTTTTAGATCCAAAGGCCTAACAAAAATCACATGAAAAAGTGTGGCAATGTCCCTTCTGCATCAGACAATCTAATTCACATACCCTGCACCCCAACCTTAACAGCGACCGTCTTCACTCCATTACACGTCTGCGTTCTCAAGGACCATGCAGCAGAAGAGTAGACTAGGTGGTTTTTGCTCTGGAAAAACACTGTCAGACATACTGCCACATACGTGGCACTCAACCTACAACGTTCAAGACACAGAACTGATTTTGAATGTAAGTGTTTCCAGTCGTGTGACCCTGGACAAGGTATTTAGCCTCTCGCCACCACGGTTTCTTCATCTTTAAAATGGGATGAAAAGGTTCTTCTTGGATGGCCTCCAGCTCTTGAGGCTAATGACCTCATTCCCTGTCTAGCGTCTGTACAGAACAGCCACCACCTGCATGCGAAGCTACGTGGTGGGCTCAAGTCCCCCGACACCAGGCTACAACTCACACTTTTCCATGTTTCTGTTCACAGTATCCCAGGATACTCTTTACAGGCAGAGACTGCTCATGTTTACCTCTGTATTAAAACTGGGATCAAGCCGGGCTCGGTGGCTCAGCCTGTAATCCTGCGCCTTTGGGAGGCTGAGGTGAG